GATGATTTGGTTATTACATATAGGTTTATATCCTTTAAGTATATCAAACAATACCAAGGAAACATTGTTGTTTTGTAAATAATTGTATTTTGGCTTCACAATAGTATTTATTGAGTTCTCACTAGCTACTGCTTATTGAGTGATTTTTTATTTTAAATCTTCATTTGGTTACTGAGTGCCACATTTTAATTTTGAATACTTAATATTGGTTTTTATTTAATCATGTCTGTTTTGTTTTCTCCTTGATTGCAAAGAACATGGTTATATGAAGTTGTCCATTGTAGATAAGGCGTCTGAAAGAACATGTGATGCTACAGTTACCTCCGAAACGTCGACAAATTATAAGACTGTTGATACAGAGATCGGATATTGTTGCTGCTAAAACTGCAATTGGGGTATTAAGTATTGATGCAACTGAAAGGGAAAGTGAAGAAATAGCTTTGGAAAATTTGGATGAAACTGATGGTATTGTTAAGGAATCTTTAACTCTACTGCAGTGCAATGTTGATTTGTGAGTCATCTATTGTGTCACATGATAGACTTTAAGTTCATTGGTTTACTAGATTGGGAGGAAATTGCATTAAAAGAATACAGCTTTGGAAATTAGTACTTCATAAAAGTGAATTTGATTGCCTACCACATTAATAGCCGAATTCTAGTTGAAAACCTAGACGATTTAAAATTTGCTTATGGTGCGAAAAAGGCATATAATACCGATGGTCACAAGAATATTCAATAAGACCCAAAAAAGTGTTAAAAAAAGTCCAATTGTTACCTGTTATTTATCGATACCAACCTACATTTGAACTATGCAAAAAATTGAAAATTAATTAAAATTTCATGTTCTTGTCAAACTACGTTTTGTCAATACACCGTGTCAAAACTGTTGTTTGGTTGTTATTTTTTTGTGTTTTCAAAGAAAATGGCCATGCTAATTTCTAATGTATAAAAATTATAATTCTATTTCTGTACGTGTGTGTGTCTGTAATGCAGAAGATTGTTATATAAGTTTCTTCTTTCATCTCTCGTACCTGTTGCCAGGCAAGCTTTCTTATCAGGAACTTGGAATTGCAAAGCTTTCTGGTTTTCGTGAATGGCTTGCCCTCCATCCAATAGTTGCAGGATCAGAGAATGCTTCAAAAATGATAATTTTTGCTCATCACCACAAAGTTCTTGATGGAGTACAGGTTTGGAAACTACTGCTTCTTGTAATCCCTTTAGCAGTTATATAAAATTGTAGAGTGATGTCAGTGACTCAATGTTTTTCCTTTCTGCATTTCTCTTTTGCTTTTTGCTGACTATCATAGTTTAGCTTTTGTTGGATTTGGTCCAACTTATTTTAGGCTTTTCTTCATAAAAAGAATAGTTTGGCCAAACACATTTCTAAAAGGTTCTTGAAAATTAAGCAACTTACTTTTATAAAAGAAAAATTAAAGTAGTCTGTTTGAAAAAAATGGGAGAGGCAGCTTGTAGGAGTCAAATGAAATGATAATTGTCAAACAACTTGTACTTTATTTTAAAGATAGTTTTTTGAACTTTAACTTTGAAGGAACTTTTAAAGCAAATATTGCTCTAATAAATCATGCTCCTGGACTACGTTCATGAAGTAAATAAGAGGTACATTTTACTTTTGGAATCACCTTGACTAGTAGTAATCCTGTGTAGTGGCTGGAGCATGATGTTCTCCTGCTGTCTTCATTTATTTGATTGGCTATCATAATTTTTGTTTTAAATTGGCCTCTTGTGATTTGATGACTATCATGAAAAACAAACATTTATATCTATCTTTTTTATGTGAATTTTATCTTTCTAAACTATTCAGGAGTTTGTATGTGAGAAAGGTATAAGTTTTGTGCGAATTGATGGAAATACTCTTGCCAGAGATAGGCAATCAGCAGTAGTCTCATTTAGGTCGTCACCAGAGGTATTGCAACCATTGCCTTTTCTTCTCAAGTTATTGTGAAAAATATCGGTTTATTTATTTTGTTTGCCTATTTAAGATATTTTCTATGTTTATGTTATTTTGTTTGAAATTATAACTTGTTTTACTTTCCATTTCTCATGTTGCACTATTAACAACTTTGAAGTTGCGTTTTCTGACAATCAGACTCAGTTTTATTATCATTGTTCTACTGTTCTATTTTTTAAATTAATTTTTTTTTAATCTTGTTGGGGGCATGCATTGATACTTGGCAATTTTTTTAAGCAAATTAAGTCATTATATCAAGTCTCTTGCTCCACTCATTGAAAAGACAATTTGTTGTGTATGCTAAAAGAACCATGTCATTCCTAACATCAACTGTCTTGAGCATTTTTGTCAACATCAAACTCCCTTTACTACCGTACTTATGCACTTGCATGCAACATGTGTTCTGAATTCCAGGTTACCGACTTATGGGTTTCATTCTTCATTTAAGATTACTGACTTATGGGTTGCATTTTTATTGAAGGTTAAAATTGCAATAATAGGTATTCTAGCAGCAGGTTTTGGACTTGATTTCTCAACAGCACAAGATGTGGTGTTCTTGGAGCTACCACAAAGCCCAACTCTAATGCTCCAGGTTCTGTTTGGAATACCAATTCATTGATTAATTTGTATTTATAACTATCGTTGGGTTGTTGAATTTGTATCATATGCTACTGACTTGTGTTTTCTGCTGTGACATTGATTTGGTTTGTGTCAAACCTGTGTTCCTATGTCAATACAACTGATTTATTTATATTGAGAAAATGAAATCAATTCAATAAATAGAGGAGATTTGGTATGATACCTGAATAAATGTCACTAGTAATACCAATATGATCTTAATATTTTTAATTATAAAGATATGATCCTTATTTTTTTATTTACAAAACTCTACCAAAAGTTGGAGCATATAATGTGTTCAGCTTGCTAAACATTTTATTGTTCCTTGATCCTTTTAAGGAGTTGGTGAATATGTTTGTTAGCACTATAGTTGACAAATGTGGTGGTGATATCTTTAGGTTCCAAGTTTTCTTTTATGATTTTTCAAGGTACACATCTGGTTCTTTCATGAATGACAAGATCAGAGGCAGTGTGTAATGCTGATAGCTTGTCGCATATATGGTGCTGTTGTTAGTAGGATATTCAATGTTCTACTAGAAGCTGTTAGAATGTGAAAGATCATTTTGTAATTATTTTTTTAGAGTTAGAGTTCTCCATATATAGATACTGCTGTACTATTTTAGGTTAATCAATTTGAATAAATATCTTCTTTCTTTCATATTAATCCTTTGAAGTGGTGCATTTGGGAATTTTCATAAAATTTAAGTTCTTTGAGAAATTAGTTTAGCCATATCAGCTCATAGGTGACTAAAGCCATTCATTGCCTTGTATTTTACTTCTACACTTGATCTTGGTACAGTATTTTGTTTCTTGTTATTCAAAGATATTAAAGTATTCCTAACAAGAACACAATATCTTGAAATAGAGTGTCTATCACTAGGTGAGGTTGCCCCGTTCGCATAAATGTGCGAAACCATTTATGTATTACCCTCATCTTCGTACATATGGCCTTTCCCAAGAATATTTCTTAGGATTTGTACAATTGCATCCCAATGATTTTGAGAAGGAGAGTTCAAGAATTCACTTATTGCATTCACTGCAAAGGCAATGTTAGGACGAGTCACAATGAGTTGATTTTGTTTACCAACTGATGGTTGACATATCTATGGGACTGAAAACAACATTCCTTGGTCAGGTACAAGTTTGATACTTGGTTCATTGGTGTGTCAACCAGTGTAATCAAATTTCGGCCATGGCGGCACCATGGCGGAAACTGGTAACGGGTTTCCAAGCTGCCGCCACAATAAGGCTGTGGCGAATCGGATTTTTCATGACGGCCCATAGCGGCCGCTTTGTGCATATCGGCTGGCGAATGCGGAACGGCAATGGTGAAAAAAATTGGACTGGAGAAAGAAGAAGATGAAGAGAGACCAGCGGGATCAGAGGGAGAAGAAACTAGCCGCGGCGGAGCAACATTCTTGGAGAAGAGAAACCTAAACTGCAAGGATTTATTTATTTTTTTAGGGTTTAAAACGCATGGATTGGGTCAGGCCCAATAACATTTAATTTAACCTAATAGGTACACACGGACAACAAGGTAAAACAAGTTTAACCACATGGTAAAAAAGATTTAAAACACATGGTAAAAAAGTAGACCAGGTTCAATAAAATTCAATTTAACCTAATAGACACACAACCACTCTCTCATTCTTCTTCAGCATCTCTTAACCCTTTATGTTACTGTCACACACAGCCAATAACCAGGAAAGCTCAAGAACATCCCACAGAACACACTTATTTTGCATTATAATTATATTTCTGCCGTAACTTTATAGAGGAATTTTGGGTATCTGATATTTTCCGTTGTCCAATATCGATAACACTGGTGTCAATTGACTTAGCTTTAACATTCCTGTTTCTTCTCAAATATCTAGAGCATATTTCCTTTGTGATATGACCAAACCAAACCAACCTTGGATTGAGCAACCTTACTACTAAGTAAGTACCATAGTTTGTCTTTCTTCTGGAACTATTAAGCAAACTATTGTTTTAGATGGAAAATATGCTCGTTGTACACTACCTTTGATTACAATGTCATTCCCATTTACAATAAGGAAGATGCATCCTTGCAAGGAATGATGGTGAAATCTTGAATGATCAATTTCACTTTGTAATATTCCAAACTGTTGGATGACATTTTGAAAAATTCTGAACCATGAATGAGGTTCGTGCTTAAGGTCATAAAGGAACATGTGTTGGCGATACACCTTATTGGATGATTACATGTCTTCATTTGAAGAAACAAATGGAAGTTATGGAATAGACTCGGAAGGAAACATTAGTAGAATAAAAAGTATCAGTTAAGATCAGGAGAGAAACAACCTTTTTTTAGAACAGTGATATCCCAGGAAGACACATTTAGAAAGATCTAGGAGAAAGTTTGTCTGAACTCAATGAGGTTACGTGCAAAATAAAATGGAACCAAATGCATTGAGCAAATTGTATATAGGAGAATGTGGAAAAAATATCGAGTGAGGATAAAGGGAGAAAATTTGATATCCTTTAATGATACAAATATGATACTAGAATAAATATCACGAATAATACAAATATGATCTCGATATTTTTAATTATGAAGAGATCCTCATTTCTGTAATTGTAACAGTTTGGAATAGTTTGCGTTAGTGGAGTGTCACTGGGAAACCCTAAAGTAGAACTTGTTAGTTTAGCAAAGGGAATGAAATAGCCATATTGGTGAATGGTATACAATAATGGAATTTTCTGAATTAGGTCAATAATATGTAGGGAATGTCTCCCAATCTTGTACTGCATGGTTGAATGGCAGTATTGTTGGGATAATGTTACTTAGGTGTGTTTGTAGGCGATAGTTGGTAATATTTTATTGAAAAATTGGAACTAACTTACTGTAAGATGATAACTCTATAGAACTAATAGTTTGGCTTTCTTACAACTAATTGTGCAAAGTGTTACACTCTTAAGTCTTTTCTACCATGCAACAGTTGCAGTTTATCTTAAGTAAATAATGTTAATATGTTTTGAAGGCTGAGGATAGAGCTCATCGTCGAGGACAAACAAATGCGGTTAATGTTTACATATTCTGTGCAAAGGTGACTAGGTTCTCATTTATTTTGACAGTTTGGGATTAGGGTTTGTTGTGATATGCCTAATGTCTCTTACAAGCTGCATTTGTTGGTGTACTCCTTCTGCAGGATACCTTGGATGAATCACATTGGAAAAATTTAAACAAAAGTTTGCAACGTGTTTCATGTACAACTGATGGCAAATATGATGCGAAGAAAGAGATAGAGGTACCATATTTCTAGTCTCTGTTAATTTCGTATTGAAAAGCAATTGTATTTGCAGATTATCTTTACATTAGTGGGCTATTTTTAAATCTGAAATTAGCTCATTATGATTTGTGGGTCTACCATCTATTTCAAATTTTAAATGACTTATCATTAAAATATTTCGTGTATATAGATATCAATTGTTTTGCATTTAATATGTCCAAATTTCTAACACGTCTTAATCCTCACACTTGGTCCTGGTGTACTATTTTTGCTCAAATATATGAAATTGAATACTGAGACAATACATGCAATAAATAAATGGATTGGAGGATGCCTGTGGGATGGATAAATGAATTCCCTTTCCTACTTGAGATGATCCTCTTTACAATTAATAACATTTCATAAGTTTCCTACATCGTCCAATTGAATGACTTATTTTTTAACCGGTTGTCACTAAAGTTCTCCAACCTATTGGGATCTTTTTTTGCTTTCAATACTGTATATTTCTTTGGTGTGAAAGTTTGCGTACTAATTTTATTATTCTGATAACCTTACAATATACACTTCTATTTCCATTATTGTGAAACTAAAGTGCTTGATATTTTGCTGTGTCATAATTTTTTTCCTCCCTTATATGACATCTGCTTCCTTTTGGGTGGTGGCAGGTTGAAGGTATTTCTTATTTAGGCTCATCTTTTAAAAGAGATAATTGTGAAGAGCAATCCACATGCAAAGATGCAGAAGGGGAAACACAATTGGATTTGCAGCCTTCTGCGGTAAATTCAAATGATTCAGAAGCAAATGAAGATGATAAATCTGGGGAGGGAACTTCTTTTCTTAACAAGTCAATTCAGAGTTTTAATGTTTTGGTAATACACTGGTACTTGAACTTCAAATTGTTTTGCCTCACTTAAGCACATCATTTCATTGTCTTTGTTTATTCTTTATTTTACTTGCTTTTTAAATTATTCTAACATGTTGCTAGAATAGGCTGATGGCGTCTCCTGCCAAGATTTAGGCACAGGTTTAGTTCTGGATGGAAATTGTGATGCTGGTGTTTTTGAAGATGTGGAGAGATATCCTGGAAAGAGTTTAGAAGACGCACATCCAGTAATTGAGATGCAGTTTCATTTTCAACTTTCTAATGTACAGAATGACTACTTGAGTGTTTAATTGTCTTATTTTACAGTTGCAGGATATAAAAACTGTTTCAACAACAGAAGCAGATGATAACCAGTCTGCTCAGCTGGTTGAAGCCGATAGTCATTGTTCTAATCAAGTTGATTTTCTGCGATTTGAGGTGAATTTTATTTTAAAACTTGTTGGTTAAGTCCATTGTACAAGAAAATTGATATTTCTTTTAGTGATTTATTTGTTATTATAAATTTGTGTGCTGGAATATACCATTGATGCATGATTATATAAATTTATTAAGTTTAGTTGAATTTTATAAAATCGGCTTGAAAGATAAGATTTGCACCCACTTATTTACTATACTTTTGTCATATTTGTAATTGATGTAAGATCTCTAATACTCTGTCATGCCAAAAACTGAACATCTTAAGTGTGAAATTAAATGTTTTTGGGTCATTCAATAGTGGGTGACATAATAGGCCCAACAAATCTTGTTGGGGTTGGGATAGGTTCTGATACATATTAGAATGTGAACTTTCAACTTAACTCAACATTACAATATTTATTTGTAAGATGGTAGATAAATTTATACCTACGTATGTTCTATAATTTGGTCATATAGGCGATGGTAGATGTTAGATAAATTGCATTTTATGTTAATTAAGGAAAACATGTCCTTATGTTAATTATGTTATTTTTACATATTCATTTGTATTTGGACTTAGCCCACGTTCTCTTTATTATAAATACATTTATCCCATGTGTATTTTCTACTCAAGGGAGATTAATCCTATATTTAGTTTTATATTCAACCGTAGATAATGATGACAACTAAGTTTTGCATCACTTGTGAGAAGAACATGACCTAATGCTCAAAAGAGAAATGTGATGATGGATGATAACAAATTCACTGGACATTTATAGGAGATCCATGCATTAAAGATACATATAAGTAATGATAAATCTTGTGGGCCAAATCAATGTTATCAAAACTTGGTTATGGTGGCACCATGGTAGAAATTGTTGGTGGTTTTGCAGTCTGCTGCCACAACATGGCGATGGCAAAGAGGTTTCTCATGGTGGCCCTTTTGCGTACCTGTTGGTGGGCATGGAACGGATATGCCGAAAAAGTCGGGGCAATGGCATGGAGAAGAATGAAGGCACATAGTTACCAGAAAGCTGGCATCAAACATGGCACACCGTTAGCCACTTTAAACAAAATTTAACCTCAAACAAAATTTAACGTCGTTGTTTTTGGAGAACTAAAAATTATAGTTTCCTTTAGGAAAAAGGATCAAAGTGAAGCAAAGTTTGGAAGAGGGACGAAACTCAAAAACGAGTTATACTTGAGGAATATAAAACATATTTAACCTTATTTCTTTTGATTGTAATGTTTCTGCAATATCATATTATGGTTCCCGTTATAACATTATAAAGGATTGTTGGGGTCTTTGATATTTCTTGTTATCCAATATTGATAACACTGGATTAGATAGGAAACTATGAATAAGTTAACTTATTTTGAATAAGTGTCACAGTTCAAACAATTGTCAAGAATGAAAAGGTCATGCTATTGATTAAATAGCACTTAGTAGAAGTGCATCACCAACGGAGAGGTACATTATAGTGATGGAGGAGGGTAGGTTGTTAGAGCTAGGTGACTATTTTTCATACAACATTTTCTTGTGGTGTGTGGACACAAAATGTTTCTCTTAGAATGCGATGTAAGGCAGGTCCGAGTGAAGCTAGGAAGGCAAAATAATCATCAATAAAGGTGCAAAATAAAAATGTTTGAATAGCCTTTCAGGTTCTTGAAAGTATGTCACCCAGTTAGTTCCTAAAATTGTCGAAATAAAACTTAATATCCTCCTGTAAGATCTTTATTTCGCTATAGTCCCTTCCTTGTATGCATGGCGTTAAGTAACAAAGTTTGTTAGCATACTGAATGACATGTCAATTAACACCTATTGTGAAGACCAACATGAAATGCCACATGCAGTGCAATGCATGAGTAGATTTGCTATGATCTCATGTATTGCACGTGCGTCTGCTCAACATCACATGCATTGCATGTGCTAACTTTTAGAATGCTTTTGTTAAAGGGTGAGTCTAAGCGCTGACAAAAAAACGGGTAGAGGCCAACCCATATCTTTGAAAGGAGACATGTGATGTCTTTCCCGCCTCCTAGAAAGCAGTGTCATGATCATATCACGTTATGCTTTCAAACTTTCAAGAGCCCTAAGAAAATCAACTGTCACTCAAACTTCCTATGCAGGTTAACTCCTTTTTCTCCCATGGCCCTGATTTCTCTCGCATTACCTTTTTCTCTAAAACTGTTTGGCAGGGAAGTAATGAGAGGGGTTGGAAAGTGTATTATAGGAAGAAATTTAAAAATAAAATTATTTAAGTAGCTAGTCGTTAGGGGGGGGGGGGGGGGTGAGACTTCATGAGAAAGTCTGTATAATTTTCTTGTGGGATGCTAGGAAATGAGGGTTTTAGTTGTGACAGGGAATGCCCTGTATGAAAGGAAAAATTGTTGAATAATACAGAAAAGGGATATTTTTCTATGTTTTCTTTATCTTGTTTTATCATTTCTTGAGAAGGCATTCTGAATGTTTATCAGAACACAGAATTCTGTATCTAAAAAGATCAAGAATACAAAATATTTAAACAAAATAAAGGAGAAATAAGGAATATAATCTAAGTGTTAGCTATGCATATTTCTCTATTTACATAGTATCATATATTTAATAATAGGCTGTCATACCATCTGTACAGGAATTTAATCTACTATAATTTGTGTTTATTATAATCAGTCTATATATGAAATGGACTCTTGCATGTAGTTCGTGCACACATTTCTCAGATTCTCCTGCACCTATTGCTATCTCTTTTAAACATGTATTGGAAATAATATAGGAGCTTAAATTCTGGTTGTAGGGTAGGTTTATTGTGATTTCCTTGGTGTACTTTTTGTTAGAGAATACAGACATTTTCAACTTTAGGTTATTTGCCACCCTTGGTGTTGTGCATAGAGGCTGAATTGAGCCGTTGATTATTATTTATGAATACCAATAACATTTTCTTGCTTTTAGGTGAGCCCATACACCGGAAGGATCCACTTGTATACTTGCATTTTGGGTACCGATAAACGACCACAACCACTTTATGAAAATTTTCGACCAGAAGAACTTGAGTTGTTGAGTCCTGTTGCTCCTGATCAGAAACAGGTTCATGATGAAAAACAAAAAATAGAGTCTGTTAAGGACAACCCCTTTTATAGGCATGCTCTTCTAGCTTTTGCGGAAGAATGGAAGAACTTAAGGTCAATTGAACGCCGGAAATTAATTGGAAAACCGTTGCAACTCCCTTTGGCTGTTGAATTATGCTATTTGAGTGAAAGCAACGACTACAACAACAATGTAAGTATAGCGAATTTGACTATTTTTAGTGGATATGATTATTTTTCATGAAGTTAATCCATGCTTGCTGTAACACTCCAATTTTTCACTCACTAAAATCTATAATTAACAAAAATTACATAATTAAAATAAAACTTTATTTCTCACTTATTTGAAATCTCAATAAAAAATAAACATAAACATTTTTTTACAAACAACCTTTATTGAAAAGGAAAAACATAAGACTACAAGATTATCCCAAATATTTACCACTCTCTCTAGTGTTGTGCTTCTTCTTCAACATATGTACAATCATTTCTCCAGCATAAAATATGATCATTTTGGGTGTAAATCATAATCATCAAAATTGAAGGCTGAACTAACATATAAACATCAAAACCAACATACACATCAACCATAATACTACAACTCACCCGAACCTTACATAGCCACATGTCTCATAATGCTATACAATTACACTAATTGTTTCACACAACCACACCAAACATGTTATAACTACAAATAATACAACCACTAGTAAACTCAATGGCAAGATTTGATTTATAACTCTCACATGCAGCTTACCAATATAGTTGTCACCTCCCATTACTCTCCTCGGAAGCTTCGACGAAACATACATAGTCACTTCACATTACTCTCCTTGAGAGTCTCCATAAAGTATATATGTGTCACTTTCCATTACTCTCCTCGAGAGTCAGCGGAGTACACCTTCGATACAACTATACAGAATTACCCTTCACCACCTTTTGCCAAGTCACTAAATACAAGCATACATTTATGTTTCCAACAAACACATATTGACATATCATCACAATCATTATAAATATCATTTACTCAACAATTTAGACTTATAAAATAATACATCATATACAAACAAGAAAAGAAAGAAAACAAGAAAAAAAGAGAATGAAAGCTCCCCATACCTCTTACTCTTCACTTCTTCCTTTAACCCCATCTAAACTCAACCTTAAAAGCTTTCTCGCTATACCTTGTTCTCCCACATATTTATAAGCTTAATATTTTTTAGGGAAATACCAATGTTTTATTGTCAGTTATTATTATATAACTATAATATATAACAATATATAAGAGTATCTCATTATATCTAACAATATTTCTTAAGATATCTTTTAATTTCTAACAATATAACAATATCTAATAATATATTTTTCTAATTAAATAATTATTCACCAAATCTTATTTTATAGAAAATCTTTTAAAATAAAATAAATTCTTTAAATTATTCACCAGTTCTTTAAAATAAAATAAATCTTTAAATTCTTTTATAACAAATAAATTCTTTAAATAAAATAAATTCTTTAAATTATTCACCATATTTGTACATTTTTCTAATTATTAAAATTTCTACCCACTGGTATTAAGTTTTATATAATGTCACAGAACAAAAGTCTATGATTGACAGGGATTATTAAATGGTGGAAGTAAAAGGCGCAAGACACCCATAATAGAGGTTAGCTATCCATTACCTCCTGATGCAGTTTGGAAGAAGGTTTCTCTGCGAAGTGGCCTCGGTAAGAGGGAAAGAGAATATACTCAAGGCTGGAGTGTGACAGATGAGCCACTCTGTAAACGTTGTCAAAAGCAGTGCATGTAAGTTCCATACCAATCATATATTGCTTTTATTTTTTATATCCGTGTTCAATATTTAGCAACTCTACTTTCAGGGGTAAGAATGCCAAGAGACCTGAATTTCTAGAAGATCTTTTTTGTAACCTTGTCTGCTATGAGGAGTATCGATTGAGAACTAGCAACCGTTTCCTCCGTGAGGTCAGAGCATGGATCATATTCATTTCAAATGAAGATTTCGTTTACTAATTTTGCTTTTTAAGTTGAGTGTTTCACTCAAACAGTATTGTGTAATTTTGTCCTGTCCCTGAGCTAGCATTAAATATACTTGAGTTGAGATCTTCAGGAACTTTTCAAAATTGAACATGGTGTGTGCACAAACTGCCAATTAGACTGTCATAAGCTTGTTAAGGATACAAGACCTTTGTCATTGGAAAGGCGACGAGAATTTATACAGAAAATAGCACCAAATATTGCTAAGCGGAAAAACATGTAAGTATAAAGTATAAAAAGAAATACTTATGGTAATAAACAGTATTACAGGCTTGTTAAAGGATTTGCTATACAGAAGATTGTTACTATACTTGCTTGTTAACCTTGACAGTATTCTAAAGTACGAGTTCACTATTTGCAGGTTTGAGAAGCTTGTCAATGAACCAACTGAAGGGAATGCATGGCATGCTGATCACATTGTTCCAGTATATCAAGGAGGAGGTAGAATTTATCTGAAAGTGTAATCCTACTTGCTTTTTAGGAAGATATATAATATCAATCCATAGGAATGACCAATACATTGTACAATAACACTTATATTCAACTTAAATTAATCCTACTTGCTTTTTAGGAAGATATATAATATCAATCCCTAGGAATGACCAATACATTGTACAATAAAACTTATATTCAACATAAAGAGCGTTTGATTTAAATGAGATGTCTATTTTTTTTTTCTCTACGTTAGTTTTAGAGTTGAGATTGCAAAACATGACACAAGTCGTCTCATTTTCGAATAATAAAGTTATTGTGATTCATGCCCTTTGCCAATTAAATAACCTTTACCATGTTCAAGTATGACAAACAATTTAGCACGACAATTTAAAGATCAAGCTAATTTCCTTAGACTAAATTATAAGGAAACTGTGGAATGCGCAAGAGAACATTATGATTTAAAAATGAAGATAAAGGAACTTGACCAATTCTTTGAGATGTAACTTTGCGTTCATTGGCTATAATACTAAGGTGGAGAATTTTTGGAGATGAGGTAGATGACAATGAAGAGCTATTTCCAAAAATAAGATAATAGGTACTGAGTCAAGTATCCATGAACCTTGACCTTCCAAAGATTGAGAAATAAAGTTGTTTGAAACACATTGCAGTGAAGAAGATTGACATTGATGGTTGAGTTTTTTAGATTTAAGTCTCAAATACTCTTGGACTTAGACTTTCCTTTTACAGATTTAAACACGAGTTCCTTGATTGCAAAATCTTGCAAGGAGTAGCGATTCTTTTGGGTGTTACCCATTCATCTACAATATGTCTAGGATTGTTCTTGGGTTGGGTTGGGTGTGATTTTAGAAAACCCATCATTACCTAATCCTTTGAGCTTGCCTTTCTTTGGTCGCTCTTTGTTGCTCAACTGTTGCTTAGTGTTCCTCGTGTAAATCAACTTGGATCATAATTTGAACTTTAAGAGTGTTTGTTCTCAACGGTTGATCATGTGGAACTTGCATAAGTCAAGAAGCATTTAGTGAAGCTTCAACCTGTATAGAGATTAATGCTTCAGCTTCCTTCCTAAAGGCATCCTCTTCGACTTTCTGCTTAGCTTCCTCTTCTTTCTTCTTAGCTTTATTTGCTTTCTTGTGAGCTTTCTCTTCTGCTTTCCTTCCTAGACTCTTCCAGCAAAGGGTGGATGATAGAAAAGGAGTCCATGGTAATGGCCTTTGAAGGCTTGAACCAACTTCCACAAGGTAAAACCTAGTTCTTGTAAGAATAGAGTTGTGTAATCGTCTTTTGAGAACATGTTCAAAGGCCTCACAAAGCTTAAACAATCAGAAAAACATCTCCCTATTCCAATGTGGAGAACATCCTTCTTGAAAACACAAGAAGATGAAGTCTCATGAGCATGTCTCCACAAGTTTTCTCTCCAACCATAAGCAGCTTTGTCTTTATTTGGGATTCAATATAATCCTATCTTCTCATTATAGACATAACTCCAATCCTAAAGATAGGCTTGGAGGAAGAAGCTTTGGATTTCTTTGGAGCATGTTGAGAAACTTTGGTTTGTCCGACTTTCTGTCATCAAGAGGTTGTACAATGGTCTATTAGAAGTCGTTAGAGGAAATTTGTAACGTTTTATAGTGTTAAGTGGATTTTAAATCTAACTCAATCCCATGAAACCAACTTATAAGGTAAGGTTTGCAGTCACTTATATACTATAAAGTGGTCTTATCACTAGTCAATGTAGGACTTCCAACACACTCCCCTCATGTCGAGACATATACATCTCATGCGCGAGATTAGACATTAATGAGTGGTTCGATAGCGGGTGGAATAATATACCCAACAAACAACAAATTTTCTCTCTAGGAAACTCTAACTCATGGTTTTGATACCATGTTAAGAAGTGAACTTTAAGTCTAACTCGACCCAACAAAATTGACTTGGAAGGTGAGGTTGACATCCACTTATATACTATAAACTAGCCTTATCACTAGTCATTGTGGGACTTCCAACATAGTGGTATTGATCTTGAGGTGTTACATATTTTTCGAGAAGGAATTCATTGGGTAGATAACTTGGTTGCCTTCTTCTTTGGGGTTGTCTTGGTGATTCTTGATCTTTTGGTTCCCCTTGGAGGGTTGGTCCTTTTCTTATTTGGAGAGTGTTAAAATAAAAGAGAGAGGGCATAGGCTAAATCCCCAATATGCATAGAACACATAGGGTTATACATTTATAAATAAGAAAATACAAAGAGATGTGCCTAAGCAAGTTACATTTAAGACCCCCGCAAGCTAGTGTATATAAATTCTATGTATTAAGCTTGCTACAAATATACTCAACTCTAGGATCTTGTAATGATTTCGTAAAAATATTTGTTAGTTGATTATTAGAATTAACAAACTCATGCTTGATATTTCTAGATAAAATATTTTTGTCTGATCAAATGAGAATCAATATCAATTTGTTTGGTCCTTTCTTGAAATGAGATTTGAGCTCATATGATGAACAACTTGATTGTTAGATATAAGTGTCATTTAGGAGTTTGGCATTGGGACCCATGGGTGTATCACCTGGCTTTCAACTCATTAACCCAATTTCCTCCAAAATATCCAATGCATGCATCCTTTGAAAAATAACAATTCCATTTATTGATTGTGCTTTCTCAATCACTAACAAATATCTGAGTTTGTCCTTTGAGATGTCATGATGACCACTTTGCTTGTAAGCACAATATCATCAACATATAGTACTAGATAGATACATTAAGCGTTCACGTGACGGTAAAATACTGAATGATCTATCTCATTGTGAATCAAACCAAATTGTTGAACAACAATGTTAAATTTGTCAAACCAAGTCCTAGGAGATTGCATGAGGCCATATAAAGATTTGCGAAAATGACATACCAATCCAGAATATTCATCTGAGCATCAAAACCTAGAGGTTGTTCCATATAAATTTCTTTCTACCAATCCCTATTAAGAAAAGCATTTTTGACATCTAATAAAAAAGGAACCCAACAATAAAGGGTAGCCATGACTATGAATAGGCAAATAGAGGCCATCTTTCATACAACACTCTTGATTCAGGTTATACTTTAGCTGAGTGTTTGAATTTGATATCTTAGTTAATTTTTTGTCATTCATCACAATTCCCTCTATTTTGGAGGAAAAATTTGATTTTACCTTTGATTTTAATTTCATACCTTATTTAATTATTTCTATAGGTGAATGCAAGCTAGAGAATATGCGTACTCTTTGTGTGGCCTGCCATTCTGATGTGACTGCCGCACAATGTTCTGAACGATCTAAAGCAAGAGCGAATGCGAAGAAAAAACTGAAAGAGTTAATGGGCAGTATCAAAATTGGTATGAAGTGTTCTGCTGTCACTAATATTAAGGTATTGTTTATAGTAATTAGACGATTTTAATTAATCCATTTAAATTTTAATACTACAATTTTTTGTAAATAGAATCTGTTGCTATTGTTTGTGTTTTAGAATTAGGTTTATGGGAATGAATCTTACCTGATATTCAGGCCTAAATTAGTGTACAAAATTAATCTTGTCTTTGTATTTCTTATTCCCAATTGTATCAATTTTAAAATCAGTGAAAAAATTTACTTTTCTGCATGGTATCAGAGCTTGATCTGAATCATATTTAGTACCCTTGCTTACCAGCCTTCCTGAAAGCCACATCTCTTGAAACACTAAAATCCATAGATAGGACACCCAACCTTTAAAAATGGAAACTGGAGAACAATTTAGTCATGGCATGGCTTATCAACACCATGACAAATGAAATTAGGGGAAACTTAATGTAGAATTACAAAAACGAATAGATGTGGGATGTAGTGAAGGAAACATGTTCCAATGTGGATAACATCTTTGAAAGTAAATGCATGCCGCATAAGTTGTGACAGGATGAAGCTTGAGTTATCGAGTATTCCAACATGCTTGGTCGACATTGGTAGCAGGTGGATATATATGAAGAGGTCTTAGTGGAACTATAGGCACTTAAAAAGAAGTACAAAGGATGGTGGAAAAAGATAGAAACTACAGTTTTTAGAAGTATTCACAGAAGGGAAGTGAGGATAGAACGAAGTAGGAGGAAAATCTTGTTGGCGAAATCTATTCCAGCCCCATCCTCTAAGAGCTCAGCAATGGAAGTAAGGGGAAACCAAGCTCTTCCAACACACAATAAGTATTGTCCTCAGTGCAATCATTGCACGAAAATTAGTCAAACCACGGACACTTGTTGGGACATTCATGGGAAACCTCCAGATAAAAAATGGTTCCCAAACAAGAGTACAAAGGCAATGCAGCAGCCTGTAATCTGGAAAGGTAAACCTTGAACCATCTCTTTTCAGCAATGAACAAATGAGAGCTCCACAAAAGAATCCTCTAGCAAATTCACATTAGAAAAGGTGGTATGATAGGTTCTTTTAATCAAGAACCTATGAATAGCACTAGAAACACAACACCGAACAGGTACTCTGAATTATACAGCCTTCTTTTATTGAAAAGAATCAACAAGAATGGTGTTACAACGTAACCCGAGAGCTTAACCTCTCTCCAAAGAACTACAAGAGTTCCCGCAAAACAATAATACTCCAAAAAACTCCCCTCCACTTACAACTAATCTCCCTTATATACAAGGTATCCTCAACCAACCCCCTTACCCCTTAACTGCCTAGATAGTTAAGTTATGTAACTGTCTTTCTCCTACTATACACAAGTAGAGGTCTAACAATACCACCCTCCTCCGAAACAACCTTGTCCCCAAGGTTGAAGTCAGGGTATTGTTCCTGAATAGTTGCTACATCTTCCCAAGTAGCTCCCTCTCGACCCCCTTCTTGCCCTCGATCAACACCTGTGGTATTGCCTCTTCCCCACTCTGCCTCTGCCTCCTATCCAACACCTTGTTTTTCTATTTCCTCCTTCAAGAGATATGGGTATCTGTATGGCCTAACATTTATTGAGCTTTCTCCTTTNAGAATGAAAGCTCCCCATACCTCTTACTCTTCACTTCTTCCTTTAACCCCATCTAAACTCAACCTTAAAAGCTTTCTCGCTATACCTTGTTCTCCCACATATTTATAAGCTTAATATTTTTTAGGGAAATACCAATGTTTTATTGTCAGTTATTATTATATAACTATAATATATAACAATATATAAGAGTATCTCATTATATCTAACAATATTTCTTAAGATATCTTTTAATTTCTAACAATATAACAATATCTAATAATATATTTTTCTAATTAAATAATTATTCACCAAATCTTATTTTATAGAAAATCTTTTAAAATAAAATAAATTCTTTAAATTATTCACCAGTTCTTTAAAATAAAATAAATCTTTAAATTCTTTTATAACAAATAAATTCTTTAAATAAAATAAATTCTTTAAATTATTCACCATATTTGTACATTTTTCTAATTATTAAAATTTCTACCCACTGGTATTAAGTTTTATATAATGTCACAGAACAAAAGTCTATGATTGACAGGGATTATTAAATGGTGGAAGTAAAAGGCGCAAGACACCCATAATAGAGGTTAGCTATCCATTACCTCCTGATGCAGTTTGGAAGAAGGTTTCTCTGCGAAGTGGCCTCGGTAAGAGGGAAAGAGAATATACTCAAGGCTGGAGTGTGACAGATGAGCCACTCTGTAAACGTTGTCAAAAGCAGTGCATGTAAGTTCCATACCAATCATATATTGCTTTTATTTTTTATATCCGTGTTCAATATTTAGCAACTCTACTTTCAGGGGTAAGAATGCCAAGAGACCTGAATTTCTAGAAGATCTTTTTTGTAACCTTGTCTGCTATGAGGAGTATCGATTGAGAACTAGCAACCGTTTCCTCCGTGAGGTCAGAGCATGGATCATATTCATTTCAAATGAAGATTTCGTTTACTAATTTTGCTTTTTAAGTTGAGTGTTTCACTCAAACAGTATTGTGTAATTTTGTCCTGTCCCTGAGCTAGCATTAAATATACTTGAGTTGAGATCTTCAGGAACTTTTCAAAATTGAACATGGTGTGTGCACAAACTGCCAATTAGACTGTCATAAGCTTGTTAAGGATACAAGACCTTTGTCATTGGAAAGGCGACGAGAATTTATACAGAAAATAGCACCAAATATTGCTAAGCGGAAAAACATGTAAGTATAAAGTATAAAAAGAAATACTTATGGTAATAAACAGTATTACAGGCTTGTTAAAGGATTTGCTATACAGAAGATTGTTACTATACTTGCTTGTTAACCTTGACAGTATTCTAAAGTACGAGTTCACTATTTGCAGGTTTGAGAAGCTTGTCAATGAACCAACTGAAGGGAATGCATGGCATGCTGATCACATTGTTCCAGTATATCAAGGAGGAGGTAGAATTTATCTGAAAGTGTAATCCTACTTGCTTTTTAGGAAGATATATAATATCAATCCATAGGAATGACCAATACATTGTACAATAACACTTATATTCAACTTAAATTAATCCTACTTGCTTTTTAGGAAGATATATAATATCAATCCCTAGGAATGACCAATACATTGTACAATAAAACTTATATTCAACATAAAGAGCGTTTGATTTAAATGAGATGTCTATTTTTTTTTTCTCTACGTTAGTTTTAGAGTTGAGATTGCAAAACATGACACAAGTCGTCTCATTTTCGAATAATAAAGTTATTGTGATTCATGCCCTTTGCCAATTAAATAACCTTTACCATGTTCAAGTATGACAAACAATTTAGCACGACAATTTAAAGATCAAGCTAATTTCCTTAGACTAAATTATAAGGAAACTGTGGAATGCGCAAGAGAACATTATGATTTAAAAATGAAGATAAAGGAACTTGACCAATTCTTTGAGATGTAACTTTGCGTTCATTGGCTATAATACTAAGGTGGAGAATTTTTGGAGATGAGGTAGATGACAATGAAGAGCTATTTCCAAAAATAAGATAATAGGTACTGAGTCAAGTATCCATGAACCTTGACCTTCCAAAGATTGAGAAATAAAGTTGTTTGAAACACATTGCAGTGAAGAAGATTGACATTGATGGTTGAGTTTTTTAGATTTAAGTCTCAAATACTCTTGGACTTAGACTTTCCTTTTACAGATTTAAACACGAGTTCCTTGATTGCAAAATCTTGCAAGGAGTAGCGATTCTTTTGGGTGTTACCCATTCATCTACAATATGTCTAGGATTGTTCTTGGGTTGGGTTGGGTGTGATTTTAGAAAACCCATCATTACCTAATCCTTTGAGCTTGCCTTTCTTTGGTCGCTCTTTGTTGCTCAACTGTTGCTTAGTGTTCCTCGTGTAAATCAACTTGGATCATAATTTGAACTTTAAGAGTGTTTGTTCTCAACGGTTGATCATGTGGAACTTGCATAAGTCAAGAAGCATTTAGTGAAGCTTCAACCTGTATAGAGATTAATGCTTCAGCTTCCTTCCTAAAGGCATCCTCTTCGACTTTCTGCTTAGCTTCCTCTTCTTTCTTCTTAGCTTTATTTGCTTTCTTGTGAGCTTTCTCTTCTGCTTTCCTTCCTAGACTCTTCCAGCAAAGGGTGGATGATAGAAAAGGAGTCCATGGTAATGGCCTTTGAAGGCTTGAACCAACTTCCACAAGGTAAAACCTAGTTCTTGTAAGAATAGAGTTGTGTAATCGTCTTTTGAGAACATGTTCAAAGGCCTCACAAAGCTTAAACAATCAGAAAAACATCTCCCTATTCCAATGTGGAGAACATCCTTCTTGAAAACACAAGAAGATGAAGTCTCATGAGCATGTCTCCACAAGTTTTCTCTCCAACCATAAGCAGCTTTGTCTTTATTTGGGATTCAATATAATCCTATCTTCTCATTATAGACATAACTCCAATCCTAAAGATAGGCTTGGAGGAAGAAGCTTTGGATTTCTTTGGAGCATGTTGAGAAACTTTGGTTTGTCCGACTTTCTGTCATCAAGAGGTTGTACAATGGTCTATTAGAAGTCGTTAGAGGAAATTTGTAACGTTTTATAGTGTTAAGTGGATTTTAAATCTAACTCAATCCCATGAAACCAACTTATAAGGTAAGGTTTGCAGTCACTTATATACTATAAAGTGGTCTTATCACTAGTCAATGTAGGACTTCCAACACACTCCCCTCATGTCGAGACATATACATCTCATGCGCGAGATTAGACATTAATGAGTGGTTCGATAGCGGGTGGAATAATATACCCAACAAACAACAAATTTTCTCTCTAGGAAACTCTAACTCATGGTTTTGATACCATGTTAAGAAGTGAACTTTAAGTCTAACTCGACCCAACAAAATTGACTTGGAAGGTGAGGTTGACATCCACTTATATACTATAAACTAGCCTTATCACTAGTCATTGTGGGACTTCCAACATAGTGGTATTGATCTTGAGGTGTTACATATTTTTCGAGAAGGAATTCATTGGGTAGATAACTTGGTTGCCTTCTTCTTTGGGGTTGTCTTGGTGATTCTTGATCTTTTGGTTCCCCTTGGAGGGTTGGTCCTTTTCTTATTTGGAGAGTGTTAAAATAAAAGAGAGAGGGCATAGGCTAAATCCCCAATATGCATAGAACACATAGGGTTATACATTTATAAATAAGAAAATACAAAGAGATGTGCCTAAGCAAGTTACATTTAAGACCCCCGCAAGCTAGTGTATATAAATTCTATGTATTAAGCTTGCTACAAATATACTCAACTCTAGGATCTTGTAATGATTTCGTAAAAATATTTGTTAGTTGATTATTAGAATTAACAAACTCATGCTTGATATTTCTAGATAAAATATTTTTGTCTGATCAAATGAGAATCAATATCAATTTGTTTGGTCCTTTCTTGAAATGAGATTTGAGCTCATATGATGAACAACTTGATTGTTAGATATAAGTGTCATTTAGGAGTTTGGCATTGGGACCCATGGGTGTATCACCTGGCTTTCAACTCATTAACCCAATTTCCTCCAAAATATCCAATGCATGCATCCTTTGAAAAATAACAATTCCATTTATTGATTGTGCTTTCTCAATCACTAACAAATATCTGAGTTTGTCCTTTGAGATGTCATGATGACCACTTTGCTTGTAAGCACAATATCATCAACATATAGTACTAGATAGATACATTAAGCGTTCACGTGACGGTAAAATACTGAATGATCTATCTCATTGTGAATCAAACCAAATTGTTGAACAACAATGTTAAATTTGTCAAACCAAGTCCTAGGAGATTGCATGAGGCCATATAAAGATTTGCGAAAATGACATACCAATCCAGAATATTCATCTGAGCATCAAAACCTAGAGGTTGTTCCATATAAATTTCTTTCTACCAATCCCTATTAAGAAAAGCATTTTTGACATCTAATAAAAAAGGAACCCAACAATAAAGGGTAGCCATGACTATGAATAGGCAAATAGAGGCCATCTTTCATACAACACTCTTGATTCAGGTTATACTTTAGCTGAGTGTTTGAATTTGATATCTTAGTTAATTTTTTGTCATTCATCACAATTCCCTCTATTTTGGAGGAAAAATTTGATTTTACCTTTGATTTTAATTTCATACCTTATTTAATTATTTCTATAGGTGAATGCAAGCTAGAGAATATGCGTACTCTTTGTGTGGCCTGCCATTCTGATGTGACTGCCGCACAATGTTCTGAACGATCTAAAGCAAGAGCGAATGCGAAGAAAAAACTGAAAGAGTTAATGGGCAGTATCAAAATTGGTATGAAGTGTTCTGCTGTCACTAATATTAAGGTATTGTTTATAGTAATTAGACGATTTTAATTAATCCATTTAAATTTTAATACTACAATTTTTTGTAAATAGAATCTGTTGCTATTGTTTGTGTTTTAGAATTAGGTTTATGGGAATGAATCTTACCTGATATTCAGGCCTAAATTAGTGTACAAAATTAATCTTGTCTTTGTATTTCTTATTCCCAATTGTATCAATTTTAAAATCAGTGAAAAAATTTACTTTTCTGCATGGTATCAGAGCTTGATCTGAATCATATTTAGTACCCTTGCTTACCAGCCTTCCTGAAAGCCACATCTCTTGAAACACTAAAATCCATAGATAGGACACCCAACCTTTAAAAATGGAAACTGGAGAACAATTTAGTCATGGCATGGCTTATCAACACCATGACAAATGAAATTAGGGGAAACTTAATGTAGAATTACAAAAACGAATAGATGTGGGATGTAGTGAAGGAAACATGTTCCAATGTGGATAACATCTTTGAAAGTAAATGCATGCCGCATAAGTTGTGACAGGATGAAGCTTGAGTTATCGAGTATTCCAACATGCTTGGTCGACATTGGTAGCAGGTGGATATATATGAAGAGGTCTTAGTGGAACTATAGGCACTTAAAAAGAAGTACAAAGGATGGTGGAAAAAGATAGAAACTACAGTTTTTAGAAGTATTCACAGAAGGGAAGTGAGGATAGAACGAAGTAGGAGGAAAATCTTGTTGGCGAAATCTATTCCAGCCCCATCCTCTAAGAGCTCAGCAATGGAAGTAAGGGGAAACCAAGCTCTTCCAACACACAATAAGTATTGTCCTCAGTGCAATCATTGCACGAAAATTAGTCAAACCACGGACACTTGTTGGGACATTCATGGGAAACCTCCAGATAAAAAATGGTTCCCAAACAAGAGTACAAAGGCAATGCAGCAGCCTGTAATCTGGAAAGGTAAACCTTGAACCATCTCTTTTCAGCAATGAACAAATGAGAGCTCCACAAAAGAATCCTCTAGCAAATTCACATTAGAAAAGGTGGTATGATAGGTTCTTTTAATCAAGAACCTATGAATAGCACTAGAAACACAACACCGAACAGGTACTCTGAATTATACAGCCTTCTTTTATTGAAAAGAATCAACAAGAATGGTGTTACAACGTAACCCGAGAGCTTAACCTCTCTCCAAAGAACTACAAGAGTTCCCGCAAAACAATAATACTCCAAAAAACTCCCCTCCACTTACAACTAATCTCCCTTATATACAAGGTATCCTCAACCAACCCCCTTACCCCTTAACTGCCTAGATAGTTAAGTTATGTAACTGTCTTTCTCCTACTATACACAAGTAGAGGTCTAACAATACCACCCTCCTCCGAAACAACCTTGTCCCCAAGGTTGAAGTCAGGGTATTGTTCCTGAATAGTTGCTACATCTTCCCAAGTAGCTCCCTCTCGACCCCCTTCTTGCCCTCGATCAACACCTGTGGTATTGCCTCTTCCCCACTCTGCCTCTGCCTCCTATCCAACACCTTGTTTTTCTATTTCCTCCTTCAAGAGATATGGGTATCTGTATGGCCTAACATTTATTGAGCTTTCTCCTTTCAGCAGAATTTTGTTCTCCAAACTACGTCGGGAAGGCAGCCCTTTTCTCTCCAGGAACACACGTGAATGGAACTGCCACACTGCTCTGAATTTCATTTTCTGCTGCGTGGTCAAATCATCTGTCACCTCACTGCTAGACCCTTGCTCCACTACCTCCAGCTCCCATATTAATATCCATGAGTCAGCATCCAGCATCTTCATCAAGGCCTTAGGTTCCACCAGCTGGCGGCATAAAGCTGGTTCCCCTTTTATCTCCACTTTATCACCCCTCACTACATATCTCATGGACATCTCTCTCCAGTTCAACACGACCTCTCCCAATTTGGCCAACCAAGCAATACCCAAGATGACATCTACTCCTCCAAGCTCAAACACGTAAAAATCCTCCTCGACAGTGGTGTTCCCCAAACGTATCCTCACTCTCTCGCAACGCCCACTCGTCGTTCGGCGATGGCCATCACCTAGGCTCACGGTGTATGAAGACGTCTCGGTCACCGGCAGCTTCAATTCCTCCACCACGTTCTGGCTAATGAAATTGTGGTTGGCCCCACTGTCGATCAAGACTACCACTCTTCTCTCCCCTATCAATCCAGTAAACTTCAGGGTCTTGGAAGGCGTCAGCCCCTCCGCCGAACATGCCGATAGCTCCAGGGTTTTTGCTTCCAGGTTAACGTTTTCCTCTCATTCCTCCTCCTCGTCCTCCTCTAGTAACAGGACCCTTAAGTTCTTCTCCGCACATCGATGACCCGGAGCGAATGGTCCACCGCATCGGAAACACCTTCCTTCTTCCCGCCTCTTCAGAAACTCTGGATAAGGTAAGTTTCTGACCATTCTTTCCCTGTTATCGCCTCCCGATGTGGTAACATCCATCTTTCCCTCCTCATCCTTCCTTCTAATGGTAAGGCCGTTCGACTAATGACTAGGAGACCGTTTTGAGTGTAAAACCGTTCGGCCTTTTACTGTAGCTATAAGACCGTTCAGTTCTTCCCGTCCTCTTCCATTCTGTTCTGGCAGTCCCCTCACGTTCGGTTCCGGTCTTCTCACGTTCGGATCCAACAGTCCTCTTCTACTGTTCGGCTCAATTCCCACTATCTTTATACCGTTTGGCTCTCTTCCCACTATATTTATACCGTTCGGCTCTTTATCTATCGAACCATGCAGCTTCATCGCTTTTGGCTGAATAGGGCCACCAGCCGAGAGAGTGGACAACTCCGTCTGCTTCAGGTCTATTTCTATCTCGGACTGCTCGGCAACCTCACCTGGGATATTGCGCTTGACCTCAGACCACTCGACAACCCTCGATCGGCCTGTGTTATAGCGATCGGCCTCGCACTGTGTCCACTGACCGCTCGTTCGTCCCCAATACGACTGGTCTTCTATGTCCTCGGACCGCTTGGCAAATCTCGATCGGCTTGAGTTATAGCGATCGGCCTCGGACTGTGTCCACTGACCGCTCGTTCGTCTCTCAGATGACTCGTCTTCTATCCCGCTCCCTTTCCTTACCTTTTCGCCTCCCTGAACATACTCTTCCCCTGTCGCCACCTGTTTCGATGCCGCCAAACGCTCAACAATGGTTCCAAACCTTATCACCAGGGCCTCCTTCAAGCCATCCCAGGAACGGTTCTTGGCTTTCTCCTTCCAGGCTCTGAACCAGTAGCCCGCGCTGCCCTCCATGCTTATGTCCGCGAACTGCACTTTCTCCTCCTCCGCTACTCCTTGAAGCTCGAAAACCCTCTCCGCCCTATTGATCCAGTTTAACGGGTCCAACCCTTCGAAAGCGGTTAATTCAACCCTTTTCCGCCATTGATTTTGCACCTCCTGGTGATCGCCACAGTGATTGTGGGTTTGGGTCCCACCGTAATCGCCACCCACTCTCCCTCCAATATCCTCCTCGCACCGTCGCTGGTTCCCTTTGACGTAAGCATGACTTCCACCTGATTGTTCGTCATTGTTGTGAGCCCGCGCCCCCATCATCCTCATTATTTCTTGCAAATCTTGGCGTATTGCAGCATAATCTGGTCGTAGCTCCCCTATCTGCGCCTTCATTCTATCAACCGCAATTTCCTTCACCCCACTCCGATCCGGCAGGTCGGACCAAATGATAGGTTTTTTAATCAAGAACCTATGAATAGCACTAGAAACACAACACCGAACAGGTACTCTGAATTATACAGCCTTCTTTTATTGAAAAGAATCAACAAGAATGGTGTTACAACGTAACCCGAGAGCTTAACCTCTCTCCAAAGAACTACAAGAGTTCCCGCAAAACAATAATACTCCATAAAACTCCCCTCCACTTACAACTAATCTCCCTTATATACAAGGTATCCTCAACCAACCCCCTAACCCCTTAACTGCCTAGACAGTTAAGTTATGTAACTGTCTTTCTCCTACTATACACAAGTAGAGGTCTAACATGGTACAAGCCAAGAAAGATAATATCTTGCATGCTTTAAATACTAGCAAAGGAAAATAAAAATCATGGATCATAAACTTAGGAACAATTTATATTATTTTCTAAGGAACTTTATAAAAGTTGGTTTGTGTTATACTCACTCTATTCTTTGTTCTAGGGGTGAACTCTGTTTTATTTATTTTCTTTCTCTCCCTTTGTCCTTTTGTTGCAAGATACACATCTCAATAAATATGAATATTAATATTAATTTAAAGAGATCTAAGGTGATATTTCGTAATTTGGAGTCAAAGCTGATTGAGCATATCAAGAAAAGTGAAATGTCATTTTGTCTCGCTAGTACTGGATTTGAAGCACCTCGCTGAAGGACACCGAACCTGACATGATGCAAAGTTTGTTTCCTCCTCACACACAACCACACAACTTCTTTTCATGGCTCACCTTAGCAAATGATGTCCACATTCCACCTTCCCACCACTAGAGCGATATCATGTTGGTTTGACTTCAAAGGGGGGGGGGGGTTGAATTGGTCTTTAATAAAAACGTGTGCCTTTTAAAATTTCTACTCAATTAAACTTACTAAGCAAATAACAATAACAAATAAAGAGAGTAAGGTTGGGAGAAATTTGCACAGATGATTTTATCCTGGTTTAGATCTTACCAATCCTACGTCCAGTCGCCTATCTCAAAACAAGATAAACAGTTCACTAATCACAAAACAATTACAAACTACAATTACACAGATACAATCTGTAATAGTTTAGAAAACACCTCTCTTGAAGCCACAAGAGATGAACCTACACCTCCTTTGAGTCTTCACAAAGGATGAAACACTTCATTTAAATACTTCACGAAGGATGACTTTCTCTTTCGAATACTTCCTCAGACACACCAAGGATGAACCAGCTATTTCTCTGTCACCGTAGCAGCACTTTAACAGCTCCACAGACGAGAGTTTCTTTAGCCGAACAAGAGCACACAATTCTCAAGAGTTT